GATCCATTTTAAACAGCTTGGTGACAGGTTTTTCCTCTTCAATTCGTGTTCTTTTTCGCACTGTCTACCAGCCATATCGCCTATGTGGCTGTGTGCTCGAATGACCTCTGTTGACAGGTGTGCGTACCACGATGTCTTCTTAGCTTAAACAAGGCAAACCATGCAAATGTACTTTTTTGCCTCCTTTCCTTTCTCCCCTTACCACCAATATCTGCGACATCGTATTCAATGAAAAGGGATTTGCCACTGCGACAGCAGGCAAGGAGTTTCATAGACTCCTCACAGGTCAGTCCACACGTCTGTACACCGTCAATCGCCAAAATTCGGTCACCTTGTTTAAGGCAGCCATTTCTAAAATAAAAGAGGTCAGAAACCTCATACCTCTACTTTTAAATAGACGGAAAAAATAAATGAACCTGTATTCTAGTTTATTTATTTTATTTCATAATTCTACCTAAATGATTAGTCCTTTATTAAGTAGGATGTGCGCATGTAGTGATTTATTCTTCTGTGACTAACGGAAAAGAAGGTGGATTTGTTATGGAGGAGAGAAATGAACAACTTACAAATCAGCACAACTATTGGGTCGAATCCTACAAATGACAAGCGGAAATGCTCCGTTTCCCACGTGAGAAAGTCCACCACGAACTGTTATTCCAAATGACTCATTGGCCGGTTCCAAATGAATGAAGGCATACTTCGTGGTGGCCGCCTTCACTAAAAGCGTCGAAACCACGCCTTTAGGAGGGGAATTCATGAAATCCACCCAAAAGAATGGGATTTCCATAATATTCTACAGTAATTTCCCCCCGGGAAGAAACGGATATGTGGAGCTAATGTTTATTCAGCATCAACTGGGAAGAGGGCAAAGGACATGCGCCAAACAATTGTGCAACCCCATCCCCCCCTCTCACACTACCCGACTTGCCTGGAACCTCTTTAGTGTATCGCGTCTTTAAGTACACAGGATGAGAGAATTATGCCCTGCTAAATACACAGGAAGGACCCCTAGGCGAGTAAATGCCACAATGTCTGAATGCCTTTTCGGATGGTCGAGAAAACCGTGACTAATCGGGTTAGTGTCATTCGAAGTGAGGGCAATTTGAATGGTGTAAATTCGTGTCGGTGACAGTCGATACTGCTAGAGGCGAAGTTACTGCAAATGTCTTCGAAATGGCAAGTGAATTTTTAAATAACCTTACCGAATCATGGCCTCTATTTTTTGATGCCAACGCAGAGGCATGTTTGGGTTTGAATAATGAACATCAACTTTGAAGGCCTTTAAAAAGGCATTTAAAAAAGTTGATGTGTAATGAGACTCATTAAAACATTGTTATAAGAACCATGAAGAAATTTGCATAATACTGTTTGTAGGTCATTTGCAGAGGACAAAATAATTTCGCCCCGGAATTGTGCTTTTGACATTGGCTCAATGATGACCTCGGAGGAGGACGGTTGGCGTCTTTCAGCCACCCCTTGCAAAGTACGTAACTCGAAAGGGTATTTTATAACCACTGGAGAAGTTAAAGTAGGGAATCCAAAATTAGGGAAGAGGTTGCCGGGATGCTCGTCCAAGTGGGACTGACCATTTTCTCAGAGAATCAACTCGGAAAATGCAAGAAATATGCAAATGACTGCAATGCAGATTGAGGTGAGTTTTTTCGTCTTTTTGATCAATCTAATCGTCCTCATGCCATAAAATCGAATGATGGTAGCCCGCACTTTACCTGACGAATTCGCTTCATCGTGAAATTCTGGAAGAGGCACACAATGTCAATAAATGCTGTGAAAGTGGAAAGACCTAGGGACTTCCACTAAGACCACTCGAGTGCTACCAGCTTCAATTCGTGTTTCTCGCCAATGGAAACGCTAAAGAAGCCCACTGGGAACGTCTGCGACTCCAATGAATGCCTCATTTTCGATTCTCTAAAAATGATCACAGCCAATGTGAGAAAAGCATCAGGTTATGAAAATCTTGGCCTCGTTCGCCTTCTCGCACTGGTCTAGTTCATTGTAAGGCTAAGGGCAGTTAAGATACCGCGAAGCATCAAAGTAGGGATAACGTTGAGTCAC